GTCATCTGGACTTCGTTTTTTTGTTAAAAAGAAACGTTTCGCCCCTCCCCAGGGCTTTTCTGAGAGTTTCATTGAAATTTGTCTGTTGGGTCATGAGATATTTTGCTAACAGACAAAGAAGCAAACACATGTACAGCTTCTGGTCTTACTAAAATTTAAACAAAAATAATTAGCACAAACTTTAAAAGTAGGTTTATGCTTAATTTGTGTCACCTTCTGCTACACACAGATGTACTTTTTTTTATTTTTTTTATTTAAAGTAAATATTAGCTTTTTGAGAAAATCACAGTCATTACTCAACTTATTGTAGTTTGTCCACTCCTAAACTTGTATTTATTAAAAATATTAGACATTTAACTTCCTGAGACCCTGCTGGCTTTAGACTTTTTATTCTCGGGGACTACATAGGAGTGGGCATGGCCCTCCCTGGTCCCCACTTGGTTGCACCCCTGTGCATTTTATAGTAATGATTGGATTTGTGTAGTTCTCATGTTTGTTGTTGCATATTATCACACTAATAAAACTACCAAGCTTGTAGTTAATTTTAGGGGATAAGAAGAGCCTGTGTTCATTGAGGGTGAGCAGCTTGAAATGGTTTCATCCCATAAATATCCTTGTTTCTATTTGGAGAGTGAATTAAACTTTAGGGGAAAAAAGTAGTAAAGCTGATTAAAATGGCTCCTTCTAGACTTTTATTTAAAGAAATCTTAAGTTTATTTATTAGAAAGGCACGTGTTTGCAACAGAAAACCCAGTGAGGATTCTGTTGTTTATGTTTTACTCTGTTTGGACGGGATAACGTGCTGGACGACAAGAACAGGATCAATAATCTGGTCAGGATTGTTGGTTCTGTGATCAGCCTCACTTCAGATTCTCTCGAGCTCAGAAGAGAAAAAGGTTGAAACTGAAAGCTGTTCTGTGTTTAAAAAAAAAAAAAAAAAAGAAGAAGCAGTCTTCATGATGTTTTTAATCCAATTTGCAGCTTTTTTAGCCGCAGACTGAAGATGTTTCTCTGCAGAACACTCAGGGCTGGAAGTGCCTCTCAGGCTGTCAGTGTGTGACCCAACTCCACTTCAAATCTATATCAAAGTTTTTCATGAACGTCTGAACGGGACAAATAGATTTTTTTCAAATCCAACCCCGATCTATTCCATATGTGGCACTAAATTAGGCACATAATGTTTTTAAAGACGCTTCATTCTGAACGGTCATGTTTCATCAAACTTTTCGATCAGTGAGGTAGGAGTGTGCGGATTGATCCAAGTATATTTTGATAACAAGAAGTTGCTTCATCTGGATGACTGTGAATCTACACCATCAGATGATCCTAACGTTGGTCAGACTGTATCAATACTGACATGATGGGGGCTGTCGATGAGTTTGTTTCACTTCAGTATGTCATTCTCATTTGTAGCATGACGCTGCCCTCTCTAACTATGACCCCTGACCCTTGTGCGTCTTTCAGACTCACTATGAATTGTTTTAAAAGCTACTTCTGACTTCAATAATGTCTGGTGTTTTCACACATTCACCGTCCTTGGACACAGAGTCAGCTACAGTCTGACTATTGTTTACCTTATTTTTCCTATGCTTTTAAGAAAGAAAAAACAAATCCTCAATGAAGTTTGTTTTATTTGATTAACAAGTATGACCATGAAGAATTTTGCTACTCGTTCCAGGAGTGGCCAGATCAAATGTAAACACGGGATAAAACAAGCGTCACAGATAATAATTTAGTTTTCCTGATTGCCCGACAACTCCAGAATCAGTGCACACATGCTAACATGTAGCATCCATGTTTACTTTCTGTAACGTACTGCGTGTGACGTCACGTCCTCTGCTCATGCAGATCGCTTCAGACTTGACGTCATATTCGAATAATAAATAATGTGAATGGCCACACTAAAATAATCACATCTGAGCATAAATTTGGTTTTAAGGATTGGATTTCAGAATGAACAAACACACCTACCCCCCCCAGATGAATATAAGAGGATCTGCGGTGGAAGTGGTCTCCAGCTACAAGTACTTAGGTGTACACCTGAACAACAACCTCAGCTGGAGCAACAACACTTCCAGCCTGATCATGAAAGCTCATCAGAGACTCTACTTCCTCAGGCGGCTGAGACGAGCTGGTCTGGGAAGCTCAGTCCTCCCCTCCTTCTACAGGTGTGCAGTGGAGAGCATCCTGTGCTCCAGCATCAACGTGTGGCATGGAGGCTGCACAGCTGCAGAAAGAAAAGCTTTGCAGAGAGTGGTGAAGGCTGCACAGAAGTCTGTTGGAGTCAGTCTCCTCACCATCACAGACATCTACACCTCCAGTTGCAGGAAGAGGGCCACCTGCATCATGAAGGACCCCACTCACCCAGCACACACACTTTTGCTCCGCTCCCCTCAGTTAGGAGGTTGAGAAACATTAAGTGTAGAACCACTAGACTGAGGAACAGCTTCTACCCTGAGGCTGTTAGACTCATGAATCTCTAATCAGGATTATCACTGTGAAAAAAAAAACACTGTAATGCCACTTGATAGTTGATGTGCTGCTGACCATCCATGCTGCTGATCTCATGCTGCTGATTTATTTCATGCTGCAGTATTCATTCGGACTCTTCAGCTCACACAGACTCTGTTGTTGTTCAACGTGTTGTTTTCAAATCTTTGATCTTATTACTGTTTTTCTTTTACAATTTATACTTTTGTTGGATGTAACTGGGACCCTGTGTACACAATTTTGTTCCACCACATGTACCGCATGAGATGCGAATGACAATAAAGAAACCTTGACTTTGACCTTGAGGCCTGTTGTGAGAATGTAGCATTCAGGGCTCTGCATACACCAGGCGAACAGCTGACTCGTGGTTTCATGGTTGCAGGACTTCACTTTCGTACACACCTTTCATAGTCCGTGACACACACAGTGCGGAGCTCCTGGGAAACCCCTCCCACTGCAGTACACCTTATTCCCACCAGGGTCTTCACTCCGTTCCTGCATCCACTGTTGTGTCGCAAATCTGTCATGAAGAAAGCGCCACACTTTCCAGTAGACAGACTCCTCTGTGCACGATGTCTGCACAATCTCCATCCAGGAGTTTTGGCCGTTTGTCTATTTTTAGTGTGCTTGAAGAGTGACGCAGCTGAAGGTCCGAGCGCTTTTCAACGTTAACAAATGCACCCACAAACCTCTGACCAGTCACACAACTCTTGGCTCATACTCCTGTGGGAATAAGTTCAGTCCAGGCTTTATGTCGAGAAGGGGCGGGCGAAGCTGCTCCGAGAACAAAACGACGAGCTTTTCTTCGTGCAACTAACTCAACGAGAGCCGATTTCCCGGCTGCAGCAATGCTTATTTTCTCTGGTCTATAATTTAGTGGTAACAGAGCGACTTGAGTAGAAATGCTAAAAACAGTCTTTTGTTTTGTCTCGTCCTAACTGTTTTAACAACGAGCTGTTCTGTTTTTACAGAGAAGAAAGACGAGTGTGTGTACGAAGTGAGTTTACCTCCGGAGGACTCGGCACCGAAGGAGTCAGAGGATGAAGAGAACGACATAAAAAAAAAAGGAACGATGGTGAAAGTCTTCCAGTTCATCATGAAGCAGAGCTACATCTGCGCTCTCATCGCCATGATGGTGAGCAATGCAGCTGTTGTTTGATGTTACATTTAACGCTGAATTATACTGAGTTTGGGTTGTTTTATTACCAACATAAGAGAAACATCCTAAATTGCTTTTATTGTAATAAAAGCTTTTGAAATAGACTCAGACTGACAGAAAATATGTCGGGATCTGTGGTTTTTTTTTGTTTTTTTGGTTAGTGTTTGTGTTAAGTTTGTTCTTTGTTGTTCATGTTTTTTTTATTTCTGTCTCTTTGTGTTTCCTCTGTCATCTGTTCATTTCTCACAGTTTCTGCCTCTCGGCTCCTGCCCCGCCCACTTACACCTGTTCCCTGTTTCATTGAGCTCAGCTGTTTCCCATCTCCTCATCAGCCCATCCATTTATTCTCTTTGTCCCCATTTTTCAGCAGTAGATCATTATTTTGCTTTGTCATGTCTGGTTTGCCTTTGTGACTCTGACGCTTCACTTCCTGTAAATTATTGCAGCCATGCAAGCCCTTTTTAAAAATCAAATTCCTTTTCATGTTGGTCTGCATTAGGATCCTCCACATTCCTTGATAAAACGTCCTTTAAGATAAATCTAGACTTGTTTTTTATTTTTATTTTTATTATTTCACATGAATGTAATAATATAAACAGAAAATGTGAAGTTTAAATTCTAAATTCTGGTACTAAAATATATTAGCATGTTGCTGCTGCCTGCTTGATCAGGTTTTATTTGGGTTAAATGAACCAACTGAAGGAAACAAAATTATACATTAGTTAAATAATTTCAATAACAAACACTTTTTGACGTGATCAGGACGTTGTAACACAGTTGTACCATCATTTAATGAGAAATAGTTTTATATTGACATGCGGTAATACAAGAGATGCTTAAATGTGCTAAATAAGCTCTGAGCTAATTTATGTTAAAGGTTTGCATAAAAAATAATAATTGAAAGTTGAAATTGTATAAATCTTACACACTGCATTCATGACTTCTATTACAGTACTTGTTGCCGTACGCGTCGCATCAGTCCAAATATGTCTAATAAAGTGGAAAAATACATAAATAAGTCGCTTTGCATGTAAGTCGCCTCTATCAGGCGTCACCGCTGACAACTTGGAAACTCAGGCCGGTTTTGTGCAACAATTTGTTTGCTCAAAATTATAGCAAAGGTGTGTCTCAGTTGAACTTTTCCTTAATAAATGCACTTTAATGGTCAAATGCTGATTTGACGTTTGCTCCAGGAGTTCCGGAGCGAGACGAATATGGCAAGCCAAGTGTTTCATTAATAGCCACTTTTACCTATTAATGAGACGCTTGGTTTGCCATATTAGTTGAGTGCCCTCTAGTGACTGAAAATGGTACTGCTCAATATTTTCCATGTCAGAATGAATGACATGATCAGACCTCAACCAAAAATTGTTTTATAAATATGGGAAAAAACATATATTAGTCGCTTCGGTGTATAAGTTGCAGGACTTAAATTTATACAAAAAGGTGCGACTTATACGGCAAAAAATACGGTAATGTTGTGCTGCTTCCTGGATGAAACTAAAATGGTCTAAAAACAACCTGAACAACTAAAACCTGTTGAACAGTGATGCGTTTACTTCAATGTTGCGGCGGTTGACAAGTTCCTCGCCTGATCAGCATCATTCATTCCTGCTTTGATTGGCAGATCTGGTTTATAGTTTGGGTTTTTGTAAAAAAAAAAAAAAAAAAAGGCTAGAATTGCCATAATGTTCCAGAAGCTCAAACAAATCCAGAGTACATGTTGCTCTCAAATGATTTCATCTGAGTTCTTATCAGGCAAATTCAAGAGGAGGTAGAAACTGCACGTTTTAGAATTTGCTCTTTACTCAGCAAAATCAGTCCAAAAGACTTAAAATAAGATTCTTCCCCAAAACAGTCCAGAGATAACTTAATGACGACCTGTTTAGAACCTCACAAGACAAAAAGGATAGACTTTTAGCTCACATTAATGCTCCAAAGTGAAACAAAGTTTGATCAGAAAATTAAACACAAATTTTAACTTTTGCGTTACGGACTGTATTTGTGTTTTGGGGTCCGTTAGTGTTGAATCCACTGCAGATGTTTGTTCAGAGGTGTCTGTGGTCCGTCCTCTGCAGGCGTGGAGCATCACGTACGTCAGCTGGCTGACGTTCGTCTTCCTCATGTGGTCGTGCGTGCTGTGGATGGTGCGGGACCGGCGGCGCTACGCCATGCTGACGTCTCCCTTCATGGTGGCCTACGGGGACCTGGTGATAGTGCTGCAGTACATCTGGAGCTTCGAGACCATGGAACCTGTCGCCGGGTTCTTCGTAAAGAAGAACAACCCGTTCCACTCGCTTTCATCCAAGGTCGGAGAGCTAAAATTTACCATTTGTTTTAGTTGTTAAAATCAGACCAGTCCTGCAGAGGGTCAGCGTTTTGACATGTTTTGGAACTGCTCTCAGTCTTTAATGTTTGCAGCTACTCAACCTGATCAATGTGCCTTTATGGATATTATTTTTATCACCCTTACTTCTGTTTTAGTAAACATTGCCTGCGTGTTTATAACTGTGAACTCTACTTCTTAATGTTTATTATAAGGTGTGTTGTGGTGATGAGTTTTAGCCACCCACAACCTGCTCTGATTAAATCTGAGTAAACTTTAGCTGATTTATTCTTTTCTTTCTTCCTTTCTTCTTCTAACCTGTCCCTTAGATGATGTGTCTGCTGACGTTCTGGTTGCTGCTCAGACAAACGCTTACAGAGAGACAAGAGAAGAAGAACGAAGACAGCGCAGGTCTCTCAGACGTCTTCGTGGAGGACCAGAAGAAGAAGGGTAAGCCCGGCAGCTCCTGTTTTGTTTAGATAATCCACAGTACGTCCTCGTGTGCGTTGGACGGTTTAAAAATCAGCAACTCTTAATGGAATGCTTTTACAGAGGAGGAGGAGTCGGAGGAAGGCGGCGAGCAGGACATCATGCACGTCCTCGGCAACATGGTGATGGGCATGTTGGTCAAATACTGGATCTACATCTGCGGCGGGATGTTCTTCTTCGTCAGCTTCGAAGGAAACATTGTCATGTACAAGATCATCTACATGATGATGTTACTCTTCTGCGTGGCTCTCTACCAGGTACTGATACTGTGGAGCATGTGTGTCAAACTCAAGGCCCGAAGGCCAAATACGGACCTTGGTAACGCCTTATCTGGCCCCAAAGACGTTACTTTAAATGTTATTTATTTATTTATTTTTGCTCCTCCTTTTACTTAAAAACTGAGCAGACTTTATTTAGTGCAGACTTCTCATGACTGTTGGACAACTTTGAAGCCAAGAAAAATTACCGTAATTTCTGGACTATAAGCCGCTACTCTTTTCACCCACTTTGAACATGGCGGCTTATACAATGCTGCAGCTAATTTATGGATTTATTTTATTTTTATTTAGTGGGCGTGGCTTATATCAGGGCGCACTCAATAGTCTGGACATTACGGTAGTTTGAATGCTTAAGTAGTTTTTCATTTTGATGCAGAAAGAGTGAACGAGAACTTCAGATGAGACCATGAAGCTCTTGTTGGGGAATCTACAATGGAGTAAATGCATTGACTGAAGTTGGCCCCAGGTTTGAAATAAGTTTGTAACTTTGGCCCCCCTCACCGAGTTGTAACGGACCCCTCAGAATAAATTTGGTCGACATTTTTCCACCTGCTTAAAACTGTTCAGACTCCGATTTGAGTTTTGATTAGTTTTTCAAAGACAGGTCTGCAGGAAACATCTCCCTGCTTTCCTACATGTTTGTTCTCATCATTTCAGGATCTGTTAGTAATTCTACTTCCTGTTGGCATAGTTTGGGGTAGTTTACCTTCTTTTTACAGTTTAGTTTAAAAGCGTTACTTTCAAATTAATGACAGCTACGCTTGCAGGGCACAAAGCAACGCCGCTTAATTATCTTAAATCAGTTAAATGAGCAGCTTAAGATCTTTTAAGGTGGGGTTTTGTAGAAAGGATATGAACAACTAGTATCTTACCTGCTGTAGATGTTTGAATATTGAATGAATGATGTTTGAACAACCTCAGATTAGAGAAATAAAGTTTAATTCTGACTTGATTAACGAGCTAATAGCTAGTCTGAGTGGAGCCAAAACAAAACTGGGTTGCTGCGGACTTGAAATCTTTCTAGTCTAAAAAAAAATCTGTAACCGCTTTATTTTATAAACTTTTACACCACAGACAATATCACATTATGTGGTTATTTACTTACAATTTTGCAGCAAACACAAAAAGCAATGACCTGCCTGTGCTTTCTTTGGTTCTTCCTGCAGAAATATTCTTGTAAGTATAAATGTGAAATTGATGGTGGTGGGAAGGTTTATAAAATTATATTCATGGGTATTAAACAGAAATATTTAAATTTGTTATTTTAAGAGAACAGCAACTCACTTTGGTCTCAGTCCTGCTTGAAGTAGCTGTTAGCTCGTCGGTTTGGTCAGGATTAGACTCCAGACCTAATCCATTTGAGGTTGTTCAAAGAGATGTCTACAGCACATAAGATATTTACTGTTCATACTCTGCCCATACAACCCCACTTTAAAAAAATTGAACTGGCTTTGGGCTTTAGTTCAGTTCTGATCATTTCATATTTTGTTTTTATTTGATTTGAACTGGTGTAAAGCAGTTTGTTACACTTTCTGCATAAAAGATGCTTCATAAAACAAGATTTGATTGATTGATTGATTGATTGATTGATTGATTGATTGATTGATTGATTGATTGATTTTCCTTTTGGTCAAACATCAAATAAAAAAATGCAAACACGTGCAACAATAATTTAGCGTTTAAATCAAATATCCTTGTTTTTTTATAACGTTATACTTAAACTTACTGTAAAGTAATATAAATAATTTACAAAAAATAGAAGTTTAATGTTTTCTTGTTTTATGACAATCAATGTTCATTACAACCTAAAAATGTGGCTTTTAAGCTCAGATGTTACTAATCAGTACAAATTTTATTTTAGGATAAGAGTTTGTAGGTCTGTTTGATCTTAGTAATTATTTTGTAAAGGTTTATCCAAACATTATTTAGGTACATTAATTTTTTTAGGCTTGACTGAAAGAGTAACGTTTAGTCATGTCAATGCTTATATTCATTCTAAAGCAATGGAAAAATACTGTACGGGCTGGACGCTGCAAGTTTTCTTCTCGTTTCAACAAAAGTCAAGCTGCTAAATCCCATCAAAATCCTTTTATTTAAATCGCTTTATAGCAACAACAAGAAGGAAAGTCTGCGTTAATTCAGACGTCTTTTGTTCCGTTTTAAAATCAAATTTGACACATTTAGAGGATAAAAAGACACTGATGTGTTCCTGTGTGCTGCAGGTGAACTACGAGTGGTGGAGGAAGATCCTGAAGTACTTCTGGATGACGGTGGTGATGTACACCATGCTGGTCCTCACCATCGTCTACACCTTCCAGTTCGATCGCTCCGAGGTCTTCTGGTCGGCATTCGTGAAGAGTGAAAGGTGAGCTCCGCTGAGCCATCCCTGATTCCAGTTCCCAGCCGGGGACAGGTGGAGCTGAGATAGCAGCTTAAATTCTCTCTTCGACTTCAGCTCGTGCTTCTTTGTTTCAAAGGCGGGCGATAACGTGTTATTTTGTCTGTTCGTTTGTTAGATAAGCATCTGCATCAAATTCAAGATGGCTGCCACAGCTAATCAACAATAGCCAACACAAAATATCTATAACTCAGTCAGTTTTTTATATATTCAAACAGAATTCGGTGTGGTAGTAGCTGAGTGTCTTTCTCAACCCATACGTAAAGCACAAACAAATCAAACTTGACCTTGAGATTTTATGCACAATCCTGCAAAACAGTCTCAAAAAGGTTCAAATGATGTCGTTTGTTTAAGCTAAGATGGCAGAAGTTACCTTCAAGGAATAAATCGGATGTTTTATCTCAAATCTGGCGCAGTTTGAAGGACCTGGGCTTGGAGCGGTTCTCTGTGTCTGTGCTGTTCACCAAAGTCTTCATCCCCACCTCCTTCCTGTTGGCCTGCATTCTCCACCTGCACTACTTCCACGACCGCTTCCTGCATCTCACTGACCTCCAGGCGGTGGTGGCCAAAGAGGAAAGCACCATCTACAGGTGAGATGACCGTGCCGTTTGCTTTATTTGGTTCCAGGCCCTATTTCAAAAATAAAAACAAGTTTAATTTGTCTTTACTTACTTTGTTTGAGTTGATAAATTTCAACTTTGATTTCACCTACAAAGAGATTCTTCCAAACGTTGGTTCTGTGAGGTGCTGTTTGTTGTAATCTTACTTGTAGATTTAAAATATAAGCAATTTATTTGGTAAATAAAATGAATAAAACAGCACAAAGTTCCTTAAGAAGGCAGTGAATGATGGACAGCACGTTAAAAACACTTTTTCATGACACTCCCATAAACGTGCATCATAACCGCTGTTCTTATTGTGCGAATTGTTTTCCTGTTTATTCTTCCATATTTTTAACTCAAACTACGTCTGCATATTTTGTGCTACTTTTATTTACAAATCAAAACTTTCAGCTCAATCAGGGTTAGTATGCTGGGACTTTTGACTTTTGAAACTTTTATACTTTTCCTAATCTTTACCTTTATTTAAAATGACATTTTTCTCCAAATACATTCAGATCTGTTAAATTACTTAAAAAATCTGCTTGAGCATATAAGCCTTTGTTTTTATTTTATTTTTCAACTTTTACACACCATTCCGCCACCTTTAGCTTTTATCTAACATTTAACTTTTAGCTTTCAGCTACCATCGTGCTTTCTTTTGCCATGCTTCATCTCCTTTTGTCTTTAGGCTAAAGTTTTCATAGTATTAGCTTCTGTTTTACAAAACTGAGCTATTGTTGCTACTTTCAGCCTTGGCAGCTTTGCTGATTGTAGCAACTGCTTTGCTCATTTTGGCGTCTGATATAGCTAATGTTTAGCTGATTTTAGGTATCAGCTTATGTTCTGATCATTTTAGCTCAGGTTTTTCTAATTTCAGTCTACGTTCCACACATTTCAGCCCATGTTCTGCACATTTCAGCCCATGTTCTGCACAT